ACCTGGTTTACTGACCATTCTGATGCAGGTGCAGATGAATTAGGAGAGGTCATCAAAGATGATATTTGGCCAAATCCATTACAATACTACTTGGTGAGTTGAGAATGTTCATTTAGTCAAGGTTATACTTGTGTCATTTGTTTGTTTGTTTGTTTGTTTGTTTGTTTGTTTTAAATGGGTTTGTAAGGTAACTTGCTTTTTTAAGGTTCCTGATATGGATGATGAAGAGGGGGAAGGAGAAGAAGATGATGATGATGATGAGGAAGAAGAAGGCTTGGAAGATATTGATGAAGAAGGGGATGAGGATGAAGGTGAAGAAGATGAAGATGATGATGAAGGAGAGGAAGGAGAGGTAAAAGAAAATTTGGCTAAACCCAAAAAGATAACTTTTGAAGAAATCAATGTGTTATTTTGGGGGTTATATATATAGTATAATGGAACTGACTTGGAGCTGATTGTGGGAGTTCGTGGAATAATACATTATTTTATTGTCCAGGAATCAAGGAAATGTTTGATAAGCTCATTCATTGTATTAATGATTTACTTTTTTTTTTTCTTTTTTTTTTTATTTTAGGGGAGTTAATACAGTTGTATGTATTAATGATTTAACTTGTTCTGTTTTTCTGGTTGGTTTTTATGATCACCCAACCTTGTCTTTCCCTAGCCAATACTCAGTGAAAGTGTATGTAGCTGGTCATATTCTGAGTTATCTTCTAAACAACAAAGCTTTCCATGTTTTGGACATACACAATTCTTAAATAGTCAAATCGGGATACATTGGTTTTAGTTTGGATTATCTGTTCTGAAATGTACCTAATGATGATTTGGTTAGAGCTGACATTACTAATTGATCTGAAACAATATTACTGGGTCTTTCAGTCAGTTTGCAGATTTATACATAGGTTTAGTGAGTAAATTGAGTCCCCCTGGAGCATATTGTCATCATGTTCTGTGGGGTCCATTATGATCCTTGTGGAAGCTAGTGAGTGATTTTAGAATTAACCATGAAGATTAACTGCCCTGCCCACCTTTTCTTTCAGGAGGATGAAGGAGAAGATGACTAACAGAACACTGATGGATTCCAACCTTCCTTTTTTAAAATTTTCTCCAGTCCCTGGGAGCAAGTTGCAGTTTTTTTTTTTTTTTTTTTTTTTTTCCTCTTGTGCTCAGTGGCCCTGTTCTTGAGGTCTCTTTTCTCTACACCATGGTTCTCAACTTATTTTGGGGGAAAATACCTTGCAGAATACAATGGGAAAAGAATCTCTACCCCTTTCTGTTCCAAATTCATTTTTATCCCTTCCTGTCTCAACAAAAACTGTATGGATCAACACCACCGAGCTCTGTGGGAAAAAAGAAAAACCTGCTCCCTTCGCTCTGCTGGAAGCTGGAGGGTGCTAGGCCCCTGTGTAGTAGTGCATAGAATTCTAGCTTTTTTCCTCCTTTCTCTGTATATTGGGCTCAGAGAGTACACTGTGTCTCTATGTGAATATGGACAGTTAGCATTTACCAACATGTATCTGTCTACTTTCTCTTGTTTAAAAAAAGAAAAAAAAACTTAAAAAAATGGGGTTATAGAAGGTCAGCAAAGGGTGGGTTTGAGATGTTTGGGTGGGTTAAGTGGGCATTTTGACAACATGGCTTCTCCTTTGGCATGTTTAATTGTGATGTTTAACGGACATCCTTGCAGTTTAAGATGACACTTTTAAAATAAATTCTCTCCTAATGATGACTTGAGCCCTGCCACTCGATGGGAGAATCAGCAGAACATGTAGGATATTATTTGGAATTGACATTCTCTATTGTAATTTTGTTCCTGTTTATTTTTAAATTTTCTTTTTGTTTCACTGGAAAGGAAAGATGATGCTGAGTTTTAAACGTTAAAAGTGTACAAGTTGCTTTGTTACAATAAAACTAAATGTGTACACAAAGGATTTGATGCTTTTCTCTCAGAATAGATGTACTTTCTATGATCTAAGTTTGACTTGTATAGCATCATTGTCAAACTTTGTCACCCTAACTTCGTATTTTTTGATACGCACTTTGCAGGATGACCTCAGGGCTATGTGGATTGAGTAAAGGGATTTGAATCAATGTATTAAATGTGTCCGCGGCTAGGCAACACGGATACAATTGCCATGGTTTCTGAAAATATGTTATTTGGGATATCAGAATGCTCAAATGTGCCCTTGATTTTTATCTCCAATTGACAGTTTTTAAAATGGGCCTTTTAGCTGGGTATAAAATAGTGCCTGCCACCACCATCAAACAGACCTGGTGCTCTAATGCCAAGTTATGCATGGGGCAGTTACTGGCATGTCTTCATTGGCTTTGTAAAATGTGGTCAAGAAAATAGGCTGTCAGAGTAAGAAGGCCATGTTGGTGGTTAGGAGTCACTTTGTCTAAGTCCCATCTCTCTCTAGCATAAAGCTCTCTGACTGTGAATCTGGGTGGTATGAACTCTGTCTGCTCAATGCCATTGTGCAGAGAAGCTCCCTAATGCATAAGCTTTTTAATGCTGTAAAATATAGTAGCTGAAATTAAATGCCACTTTTTCAGAGGTGAATTAATGGACAGCCTGGTCAAATTCAAAGCTTTTTGATGTATAAAACTTTATAAATGGAACTATTCCATCAATAGGCAAAGTGTAACAAAAACCTGTCTAGATGGATAGTATGTAATTTCTGCACAGGTCTCTGTTTAGTAAATACATCACTGTATACCAATCAGGAATCTTGCTCCAATAAAGGAACATAAAGATTTTTTTTGGACTGGGGTCATTCTCCTTGTTTTGTAGAGAAATGTTACTTGCTGTTGGATTTAGACGATAAGCTAGTTTTTTGCCTTGTTCATATTCATGGTTACTGGGGCAGGGGAAAAACTGAAGCCAGGCACAGTGGCTCATGCCTATAATCCCAGCACTTGGGGAGGATCACTTGAGGCCAGTAGGATTCTGTCTGTATCAAAAATGCAAAAATTAGGTGGAGTGGCATATGCCTGTGGTCCCAGTTAGGGAGGCTGAGGCAGGAGGATCACTTGAGCCTCATCCCTTTGAGCTTACTGTGAGCTATAATGGTGGCACTGCCCTGTACCACAGACAATACAGTGAGATGATATCTCCATAAAACCAAAAATAAAACTTTGTCAGATAGCTTAGCAGTAATCATAGGTGTATCTATAGAAAAAACTTCAAGCTGGTCAGTATAAAGTGGACAAATTCTGATTTATTTGAAACTTAGGAAACAGTTTGAGGGGAAGGGTATAGTATTTTGAAGTCTCAAAAGGACTTTTCCCTAGGAAGAAAATCACAGTTGTCTCTCATCCCAGGTTTCAGTTATGCATGGTTAACTGTGGTCTTAAAATATTCAGAGAAGACTGCATTCACATAACTTATTACAGTTTATTGTTAAAATTGTCAATTTCCTACTGTGCCTAGTTTGTAAATTTGTTTTTAGCCCTATACCTTGAGGACAATACTATAATTTGTAAATTTTACCATAATACTTTGTAAATTTTATCATAGGTATGTGTGAATAGGAAAAAATACATGCAGTGGCCAGGCGCCTGTAATCCTAGCTCTCTGGGAGGCCGAGGCGGGCGGATTGCTCGAGGTCAGGAGTTCAAAAAATACATAGGGGTTGATAGTATCCGTGGCTTCAGGTGGCCCCTGGGGGTGGCCTAGGAATTATCCCCCATGGATAAGGGGCAATACTGTAGTCTTGCTAGTCTTGCGCTAATATTAATACTTAAACCTGTAATATTGTTTCACAAAGTTACAGCTTAGCACAGCTGGTGGTTTTATGAGCTGGTGAGATTCTAGAGCTGTTAGGGTATAGGTTACAATCAAATATAATGTTCCTTTTGGGAAATGTCACAAATTGGGATCCCTTTAAGGCAATTGTTTGCTCCCAACTGTTGCTTCACTCTCTAGATTATCCTGTTTCTGCAAATCTTGTAAAAGAGGACTAGGCTGTGAGAAAGCAAAATGACAACCATAGCACCCAGGAAAATTCCTGCAGAGTAGCCAGTGTGCCTTGTGCCCAATTGCAATAGGAATTGTTGGACTGGACCTTAAGCAAGTGTGCATGCTCCTTTGCTCAAGGACATTTAAAAAAAAGGAGCAAATAATGGCCATTGAGGTAATTCTCTGGGAAGGGGCTGTGCTCTTCCAAAGCTGTGCCATACTCGGCTCATGAGGGGAATTTAAAAACCACATGAATTGGAATAGAGGACAGTAGTTTGCAAGGTATCCTTAACATTTAGTTTCAAAACCTTAAGGAAGTGGTTGGGTGCAGTGGCTCACACCTGTAGTCCTAGCACTCTGGGGAGGTGGGAGGATTGCTTGAACCTGGGAGTTTGAGGTTGTAGTAAGCTTGGATCATGCCACTGCATGATAGCCAGTGTGACAGAGCAAGACCCTGTCTTTATTTTTGAGATAGTCTTACTATGTTGCCCAGGCTAGAGTGCCCTGGCATCAGCCTAGCTCACAGCAACCTCCAACTCCTGGGCTCAAGGGTTCCTCTTGCCTCAGTTTCCTAAGTAGCTGGGACTACAGGCATGAGCCGCAACACCTGGCTAATTTTTTGTTTCTACTTTTAGTGCCTGATTAATTTTTTTCTATTTTTAATAGAGACGAGGTCTCGCTTTTGCTCTGACTGGTCTCGAACTCCTGAGCTCAAGCAAGCCTCTCGCCTGGGCCTCTGAGTGCTAGAATTACAGGCATGAGCCACCACGCCCCGCCAAGACCATCTTAAAAAAAAAACTGGAAGGAAGGAATGTTTTGTTTTAGACTATCCTTGCAGGTCTTGTTTCTCCAGTGATTTCAAAAAGCCTTAATTTTAACTGGATTCCCTGACCTCCATTAATAGGCTCTTAAAAAATTTCACCCATCTCCGGCTTGTAAAATTTATTAATAGCATTTATTTTAAGACAGGGTCTCGCTAAGCTCACTGCAACCTCTAACTCTCAGGATCAAATGATCCTCCTGCCTCAGCCTCCCAAAAATGTAGAGTTTAAATGGTCCACAGAGTACTTAGACATTTTGTTTGGCTGACAGATTTGCTTCACATCTGCCCTGCTTGTTTCACTTGTGTTAGCTGCTTGACTCCCAAAAAGTAGAGGAGTTTTTTACTCTGGCATGGATTTTATTTATTTATTTATTTATTTTTGAGACAGTCTCGCTTTGTTGTACAGGTTAGAGTGAGTGCCGTGGCATCAGCCTAGCTCACGGCAACCTCAAACTCCTGGGCTCAAGCAATCCTCCTGCCTCAGCCTCCCGAGTAGCTAGGGACAATATTTCATGTCAATTGTGTCGTTCACCATTGCGGCGTAATGTGTTTTTTCGGTTATATTAATTTTATTTTGTTTTTGTTGTTTTTATCGTTTTTTTTTTTGTGTGTTTGTGTGTATTTTGAGTTGGCAGGATTTAATTTCTTCTATTTATCAGTAGGACGGGGGTCTCACGTACTTTGCTTCATGGCTGGTTTCTGACTCCTGACTGTTTTTTTTGACTCAATTGTCCTGCTGTCCGGCTTGGCTCGGCCTCTCCAGATTGTTCTCAGGAGTTTGTGTTTTTGGTTACGCAGGCGTGTTGTTTTTGTAGCCTGCCTTTGCTAGTCTATGGTCCTGGCTATTGGTTATTTTGCACTTGTTTCCTATAATTCGTAATACATATTGTTGTTGTCTGGAGTTATGTCTGATAATCTATTCTACTACTTTATTGGGTTTTTTTTTGAGACATGAGTTGTCTGCTCTGTGCCCAGTTGCTAGATGAGTATTGTTGCTTTGTGTCTGGCTCGTAAGCTCTATAGACCTCGCATTCATATTCTTGCTCAGGCTTGCGCCACCAGTGCTGGCTATTATTTTTTTTTATCTATATTTAGGTGGCCAATTTTTATTAATGTTTTCTTGTCATAATTTTAGTGAGAGTACAATGGGGTCTTCGTCAGAATTCTTAGAGATTATGAATAACTATTTTCCAATTGTTTAATAGAGGAAGTTTGTGGTCCAGGTGCAGTGGCATCACCTGTAATTTCTTAACACGTCCTGGTAGCGAGAGGTCGGAGAGGATTTGTGTGCCGTCAGGTCAGGAGTTGTTGACACACCTAGACGAATTGACTTTTCTGTCATCTATCTCTCAATTTATGTTATTTTTAGTTGTTTCGAATATATTGAAATGTGAAATATATATATGGACCGAATTTTTATATTAGATGAAAATTTTAGCGGTGCATGGTGGCGCATGCCTGTAGTCCAGCTACTCGGAGGCTGACAGAAGGAGGATTGCTTGAGCCCAGGAGTTTGAGGTTCGCTGTGATTGAGAGTACGCTTGACGGTTATGTCACTTTTTTTTTTCACCTTCTGCTGGGCAACACGAAGACTGTACTTGTTTTCACTTGTATAAATAAATAGGATATGTTTGATGGGTTGTTAGTGTGTAAGTGATGCCTTAAGATTTCTGCCCAGAGATCATCTAAGTGTAGATGGACCTAGGGTCTCATAGTTTGAGAAGTGGTAACATTTTGTGTTTATTGGATGGAAACATTCTGCTAGGAGTTTATAAGTTTATGATTCTTTTAAGTTCAACATGTTTTGCATGTTTTATTTTTAGATTGTAATGTTATATTTTTTTTTATTTAGTTTTGATGACAGAGTCTCTGTTTGTTCTGTCCAGGATATTTGAGTGACGTGCCATGGCTGTTCAGCCTAGCTCACGCAACCTCAATACTCCTGGTCGTGCGCGATCCTTTCTGCTTCTAGCCTTTTCGTGAGTAGCTGGGATCATGCATATGTGCCACGTGTGGTGTTGCCCTGGTCTAATTTTTTTTTATATCAGTTTGGGCATAATTTCGGTTATTCGTATTTTAATATGTAATGGATATGGGGTCTTTGCTCAGTGCTCTTGTTTTGACTCCTGATCTTGAGCGATCCGCCGCCTTGGCTCCAGAGAGCTAGAATTACAGGCATGAGCCACCGTGCCGGCCTACTTTTATTTATTTTGAAACTGATGAGTTCGCTCTGTGTTGGGCCCGTGTTTTGAGTGCCTGTGCTGTGCAGCCTATGGTTAGCTCACAGCAATTCATATCTTGCTCAAGCAGAATTCTGCTGCTTCGTCCCCTGAGGTAGCTGGTGATTAATGCTGCATGGAGCGGACACCTCATGCCCGGTTCTAATTTTTATTGTCTTTTATAATATATTTGTTGTGGTGGGTGTGCGGAGAGTTAATATTTTCTTTCTATTTTTAGTAGAGACAGGGTCTCACTCTTGCTCAGGCTGGTCTTGAACTCCTGACCTTCTTGCTCGATTATCCCGCCTCGGCCTCCCAGAAAGCTATGATTACAGGCGTGAGCCACTGCACCAGGCCAGTTTTACAGTTTTATAGGCCAATTAGCTGGAGAGTTGGTTTCAACTATTCACTATCCATTGGATGTTGAACATGAACTTACATTTCCCTAAGAATTCCAATCTCATGGAGTATGTAAGATGCAGGTATCTGGTCAGACTCATTCAGCAGAGCAGGACTTTGTTTCCCTGCTGGTTTGCCCAGCCTGGGTGCATTAGATGAATTTTGCTACCATTGAACTGCTTTCCCTTAGTGTAACAGTGAAACAGACACTTCTCAGCAAACTTGGAAAACCATCGAATTCAGCTTCCCAGCTAAATGGACCTTGAGATGAGAAGTGAACACTCTCCCGCTGTCTGATCAGATTACCCACTTGGCTTCTAGAATTGACATTTACTTACCAAGTCAAATACATATTTTTAA